GTAGACGGGGTGTGCACATGGTGGTGATGGTGGACGGTGTGTGTTGGAGCTCAGTGGACGGGTGGAGTGTTGGTGTTTATGTCACAGTGCGCAACAATAGTGATTTGACAGTGACCATAAAAACGGGAGGATGAAAAACACGAAAATAGTGTGTTAAAGTGATTTAATGGTGATCGTGAGTGTACAGTGTTGTCAGTAGTGTTACTGCTGTGTTGGTCGTGACATAAAGGTGAAATATTAAACTGTGATTATATCTTTGCTAATGAAAAATAAAGACGATTAGGTCTTACTGTTTATAGTCGTTTGTATTATTGTTTTATTTTATTATTATTACTATTATTATTAGTAGTAGAAGTAGTAGTAGTAGTAGTAGTAGTAGTAGTAGTAGTAGTAGTAGTAGTAGATGCGAGTAAAAGTGTTCGCTTTTTGAGGTATTTGTGTTGAGGACAAGTGTATGGTGAGTCAGGTTGGGTTATGAAGCCAAACCAGTGGTGTTTTAGGGTGGTAAATTCTTTAGTCCAGGCAGGAGGAAAATCTAAGTGACGTGTATTTACCATCACACTACATATGTTACATCCGTCCTCACTGTTACAAAGGTTCAGTATATCAGTGGTAACGTGTCAGGGCTCGTGGTGGTACTCAACAGCTTCCTTAAGGCGGAGTCTTCTTAACATACAATAAAATGTTTGTTGTTCCTAATTTCGTCAACATTAATGGTGACATAAGAGAATTTTTAGCAGCCGTTATGTTGTTGATAATGACACTAATAATATACTGTATAGTCTTAGTATTTAGCTATTCAGTAAGTGATAGTGGGTGCCATAAGCCTGATTGCATCTTAGGGACAGTTTGACTACAGTACACTGTATATTAAACCTTATTTATGGCACTGCACTCGCCCACCTTCATTTCCCAACTGTAAAGCTTGACGCCCGTTTACAACTCGGTGTACAGTACTGGGATCAAACCGACGACCTTTCAGACAGGCGGTGAACACTGTAACCACTCAGCAGTCCCTGTATGTGTAACTGAAGAACACGTGTTCAATATTTAGTTGATTTTAATAACATTTATGGGATGAAGATAGGCAAGTGGTCCCTTTGACGTCAAGAAGACTGACTCTGGCAGCTAGAGGACGTCAAGTATCAGAGAGCAGCTCACGCACGCCACCTCAGATGTCATAAACATTAACAGTGGGAGCAAGATGTTGTGTTATATATAGTCCTTACTGTGTGTAGAACCTGCCACTGTAGATACGTTAGTTTGTTCATGGGTTGTTAGTTCTTAGAGACCTAGAGGTTTTAATATATATGTTTCTGCAGATTTAAGAAAGTTTACCATGGGCCGAGTATATGTTAGGTTTTATTAAATAGATTCTAAATGTGCCATAACCTTCTCGTAAACGCTACCTGAAAACATCAATAATAATGACGATGATAATAAAAGTAACACCTAACACTATTATTTCGAGTATGACTGGTATTATTTTGATTGTTGCTGTTAGCCATTAGTATCACTGCACTAAAACAACTCTGGGTCTTTTTGAGCCGTGACGCCCTACAGCACACAGACCAATGTGACCGTCTCACTGCTGTTGTATGGGAGGTCAGGAGAGGTAGGAGGGCGTCAGTGCTTTATCTAGTCCCCCTAACAAGTCTCCATTTTAATTCCCCGATTACCTCTCATTAACCTACCTCCCTTCACCTCTTCCTTCACCTGTGCTCCACCTAGCCCCGTCCCTTATCCCACACCACCTTACCGTCTTTGTGCTCACTGGCCATTCAAGAGGGACAACCCAGCCCTATTAGAATAGTCACGACTCAGCCACACTCAGGTACCCCACGACACACTTGAGGGACGCCGTGCCCGACCTACCTAAAGGCACGTTTAGACTGGTCGTTGGGATGGTGTCCAGTGCCTTAATTCTCAGAGATTCGCAGCTTGTTACGCTCGAGTCTCTCTGTATGCAATTTCGACTTTATCTGCTCTGCCATATTTGTGTCGCAGCTATGAGTCTGTTGGATTCGTTCTTGCCTCTCCAATTAGCTAAGAGGGGAGGAGGGAGGGATGGATTTTAACATGAATGTTATGAATCTCCATGAACGTAGTGGTGAGGTTAAGGTGGATGACGCGTGGTGGCTGGTGCACGTCCTTGATCAGCGTTAAGCTCACACGTCTCCCTCCTCACGTGGTCCAATTGTCTCCTCATATCATCATTGTCATCGCTTCTTCACAATACATTGACATCGCTTCATCCGTGTAAGAGAGGTTCTCCGGGTTGGGTGTTAAGGCAGGCTGTTGGAGACTACCGACACGGATCCCTAACTCAAACACGTTACAGTTTGTTTTATTGTTAAGAAGAGAACGATGACAAATATGACGCACTAACACACTTCACGGTGGTATATTGTTGACTGATTTATGACATATTTACTGTATATACAGGTGTTGAACGGTGTACCTGATATATGAGTGTTACTGTGTGGAGGTCACTACTGTGTGTTGTGTGGAGGCCACTTATTGTGTTGTGTGGGAGGTCACTTACTGTGTGTTGTGGGAGGTCACTTACTGTGGTTGTGTGGAGGTCACTACTGTGTGTTGTGTGGAGGTCATCACTGTGTGTTGTGTGGAGGTCACTTACTGTGTGTTGTGTGGAGGCCACTTACTGTGTGTTCTGTAGAGGTCACTTCACTGTGTGTTGTGTGGGAGTTCTTACTGTGGAGGTGTGGAGGTCACTTACTGTGTGTTGTGTGGAGGTCACTTACTGCAGGAGGTGTGGAGGTCACTTACTGTGTGTTGTGTGGAGGTACTTTGTTGTGTGGAGGTCACTTACTTTGTGTTGTGTGGAGGTCACTTACTGTGTGTTGTGTGGAGGTCACTTACTGTGTGTTGTGTGGTGGTCACTTCAGGTTCTGTGGGAGGTCACTTACTGTGTGTTGTGTGGAGGTCCTTACTTTGTGGAGGTGTGGGAGGTCACTACTGTGTGTTGTGTGGAGGTCACTTACTGTGTGTTGTGTGGGTGTCACTTACTGTGTGTTGTGTGGAGGTCACTTACTGTGTGTTGTGTGGTGGTTTACTGTGTGTTGTTGTGTGGTGGTCACTTTGTGTGTTGTGTGGAGGTCACTACTGTGTGTTGTGTGGGAGGTCACTACTGTGTGTGGGGAGGTCACTTACTGTGTGTTGTGGGAGGTCACTTACTGTGTGTTGTGTGGAGGTCACTTACTGTGTGTTGTGTGGAGGTCACTTACTGTGTGGAGGTGTGGAGGTTTACTTTGTGTTGTGTGGAGGTCACTTACTTGGAGGTGTGGAGGTCACTTACTGTGTGTTGTGTGTGGAGGTACTACTTTTGTGGAGGTGTGGTCACTAGAGGGAGTGTGGGTGATGTAAAGTGTATGAGGGCACTGCAGGGGTGTACATTATTAACCAGGTGTCCGGCCCTCCCTCCAGGTGTAACATTACTCCTTCACCTGTTTGTTTACCTGCCGTACCTGTTATCCACACGCTGATGTATTGGGCTATTCACGTCGTTTACTAATATCGAAAAATTCACAATCATTCCTGCACTCTTGTGTACTATTTAAAAGATCGTCTTTGTGGATGACTTGAGTGTTAATCCAATAAATTCTTTACTGCTCAAAATCTAAATGAATCCTCTACTTTAACTCATGGATTTAGTAAACAATGAAAATATAAACCAATAAATATGTGAGAGACTTGGAGACCAACCACCACTGTTTACTCTTCCCTCCCTCCCCCTCACCCTCCCTCCTCTCACCCCTCTCCTCCTCCCCCTCCCTCTTAAGAAGAATTACATGCGGGGTAATATAAGATCTCTCTGGCTTAATCACCTCCACAACAACAGTAACAACAACACCGACAAGAGCAACAACAACAACAATAACACCGACAAGAGCAACAACAACAACAATAACTAAGACACCCACAACAACAACGACAACAACAACAATAACAACCACTACAACGACAACAACAACAATAACAACAACAACAACAACGACAACAACAACAATAACAACAACAACAACAACAACGACAGACACTCATACTAAGATGGAATACCCCTCGTCGTTTACTGTCTCTTATCGTCTCCCATCATCTCCCATCGTCTCCCATCGTCTCCCATCGTCTCCCATCATCTCCCATCGTCTCCCATCGTCTCTATCGTCTCCCATCGTCTCTTATCGTCTCCCATCATCTCCCATCGTCTCCCATTGTCTCTTATCGCCCTATCGTCTCTCATCGTCTCCTGAATTTTCGATGCTATGGCTGTCTTCCTCGTACAGGTGAAAGATAACGTGTGTGTGTGTGTGTGTGCGTGTGTGTGTGTGTACATCATCTCAAGTGTTCCTGAAGTACCTGTTGTGTGCCCTTTCACCTCGATCAGTCTGTCTGTCCACTTTTTGCTGTCTGTCTGAGTTTCTTGTTCTTGTATGTTTTCTCTTACTCTTCTCCTTCTATCTTGTTTCTTCCTCTCCTCTCCTCCTTCTTCCTGTCTCCCTGGCCCCTCCTTTATTCTTCCTCTCCCTCCTACCTTTCTCCCTACTTCTTCTCCTTCACTTACCCTCTTCCTTCCTTCCACCTCCTCTGTCCCTCCTCTCCCGCTCCTTCCACCTGCTCCTTCTTCCCTCTCTTCCATCCCACTCTATTCCCTTCCTTTCCCTCCCCTTCCACACCTCTCCCCCCTCCCCTTCCACACCTCTTCCCCTCCCCTTCCACACCCCCTCCTCCCTTCCATCTCTGTCCCCCCTCCCCTTTCACCTTGTCTTCCCCCTCCCCTTCCACCTTGTCTTGCCCCTCCCCCTTCCACCTGTCTCCCTTCCACCTCTCCTCTTCCACCCTCTTTCCCCCCTCCTTCCACCCTCTCTTCCCCCTCCCCTTCCACCTTGTCTGCCCCCTCCCCTTCCACCCTGTCTTCCTCCCTTCCACCCTCTCCCTCCCTTCCACCCCTCTTCCCCTCCCCTTCCACCTTGTCTTCCCTC